TTTTTCACATGCTGCATCTTGGCTTTCCATTCACCATTGTCCTTGCACTTTTAATGTGTGGTAAGAGATGGGTAGTTGACTGTGGTGTGTGTGGCCTCATTGCACAGATATCATTTTTAGCATTCCTATGTACACACTGGTTTTCACTTTGGATGTACTACTGCTGTTTAGTGATGCCATGGCTGGTCTTGGCAATGTTATACCCATCTGGTTGGACCCTAAAGAATATTTTTACTATTAATAACACATAATTCCAGCAATGATTTCCAATATGTGTGAGTGTGTGGTGCTGCATAGGTACGGGACTTGCATGGCAACAACCATAATCTGTTAGAAACAGGACAAAATGGAGGGACAACCAAACGATATTTTGCTATTGTATGGGGGTTGTATGACATCTCTCTGCCCAATGATGTCACATTTGACTTTCTCTTGCATATCTCTCTGTCACACTTTCTCCTATACTCAGGATGGTGATACTCCACTCTATATGGCCTGTCAGAATGGACACAAGCACACAGTTGACGTTCTGTTGAAGAATGGAGCAAATGTTAATCTTACCACTACAGTGAGTTATATTGAGGCCATTAATTAACCCTTGGTGCACAAGGACAGAGAGGGTTATGATACTATGTCTGGTGTGTGTGTATGTATCTCCTTCTCTCTGTTACCCCACAATGTGCAACATGGGGGGCCTAAAATTTATACCAACAGATGGCTAACTGCATTATGGAGCCATTGACCATGAATCCAAAACACTGGGTTGAGCCAGAATGCTGTGTTTATATGTTATGGCACAATAGCAGGTAAACAAGCAAATCATATTTTAACGCAAGCTACCTCGACCAGAATCTGCCACGAGAAGGCATCAGATGATACATGAAACGTGAGTATGGGCTCCAGTGTTTGGCTTCCTACTGCAGTATCAGTCAGGTCGCCAACAAAACCTGAGATCTGATTACCTATTCATACTTCGTTGTCTTTCTGCTTACTTGTGCTAGAATGATGTCACTGTTTCATACACACACTTAGTACTGTACTGCATGGATATCTGCTGCAAGGAAACCTTTTGGCACCATTTTCATAGAACATAACATGATAAACTCTCTCTTTTTCAAATCTGGTGCTTGTTCTGAGGCTTAGCCAAGATGCCATGGCGACTTTTGTAAGCAAAATGCTGAAATGGACTTACATATGACATCATAATGCAAATAAATTCCATTGGTGCATGACCCCACTGATATTATTGCTAGCTTCTCTGAGAATCGGCAATAGTTCATGGCTGGTATGGTTGATCGCTTAAATAGACTTGTGGATGGATATGTCATTGAATGTGTATGTATTTACTGCTCGTAGGATTTAGTATACATTTCATTTGGTCTTGTGGCTACTCTGAAGTAGCCTATGGTTCACTCTATAGCAAATACATGCTTACCGAGTAATGCTGCTTCAATGACTAATGTATTGCAATGAGCAATACATTAGTCTCTGTTTTCCCCTCCTCAATGCTTAATATCCTTCACTGTATTTGACTACACATTATTAGTTGACTGGTTTACAACAAGCATCTTAACATTAATAGTCATTCCTACTGTATCTAATTGGTAAGCAAAGTGATCCTACCTAGTTACCTGAAATGCCTGCACTTCTATATGTAATGTATACTGCAATGTTGCCACCCTATTGTGATGTCCAACGTAATTCTAAACTCACACATGCAATAATTCACACATACACTGAACTGAAATTTTTACAAGGTTTCTGTGTGTGCCAGTAACTCTAGCGTTAGCGTGCTAAATAGTGTTCTTTTTAAGTTGACTATGGAGGGTGAACAGTGCAAAAAAGAGCTTTCTTACCTTTGTTATGTAAATATTGAATTTGTATATCCAAAAGCCATTTAACAGTCCTCTTTGTGAGTGGTGGGTTTACTCACAATGATTCCTGTTTAACGTTTTTCTTTGTGAAATTTATGTCAAAGGGAAAAAAATAGTCGGAAAGCAAAGCATAGTGACTGGGTTACTGGTCACTAGGCCTGGGTTGGACTCTGACAACAAAGTATGGTTTGTTCTGTTCTATTCTAGGTCTGCGTTAACATCTTGGGGACTTTTGATGGTGGTTAGAATAGAGGATTGAATTTCATGAAACATAACTTGTATAAACATGAAAATATCTTGCTAATTTGAAGTGCAATGAATATGCGTGTACTTATTGTTCACTCTCTGTATCTTCTGCTCTTCAACTGTTTTCTATCCATTTCTCCATGAAAGGTTGATCCTCTCTCATCTCCTCTGGGGAGTAGCTGCTGAAAAAGGTCACACAGAGATTGTGGAGAAACTGATATCAGCTGGAGCTGTCATCAACTACCAGAACAAGGTACGACGTTTTCTGTCTGCCAGTGTAACTTTGGAACACCTGCTAGTTCCACTGGGTTCTGTATAATGTTATTACATATACTCTTATATGCCTCTGGTGTAGAGAGGAAAGTGATGTGTAGTTCTGAGGATGTTGATCATCTTGCTATAATTGTCATTGGATGCAAACACACATGTAAACTGAACAGCTCACGCTCTTACATGGAGAGAATAACTGAGATGAGAGGGGCTTTTCAACCCACATAGCCATAACAACATCACACAAACACACAAATGGATTAGCCATATATACATGCATCAGCTGATGCATAGAGCACAATAATAATACAGTATCAAAATGAAAGGCACTGAAGTGCAAACCCTCGGCGCTGTGATAATAGTGAACACACACGCACAATTATGTAAAGTAATGGGTGGGGCAATGGTATCACCAGGTCTGGTAGAATTGTTGCACTTACTGGTGCTGTATTTAGCTTCATAGATAAGACTATTCTTACCTCCCAAGCCTAACCTAGTGAGCAAAACGCCTTAGTTGGAGGTATACTCACTGAACTCAACCGTCTTCTCTGTCTAGTCTCACAGAGAAATGAGGGGGGAAAATGGCTGCTGGCCATGTGGTCCCAATCAGCGTGCGCCGCTTTGGCCGCCTGTCTGTCGCCTCGGAGTCGCATGCATTTTGGTGTACACGCACATGCGCGTTGTTAAAATGGCCGCCTTTGCCGTACCGTACGAACAGGAAAACACTCTAGCTCTGCAACGAAGCAGTTTCAGAGATAATCCCACATATTTTCTGACCTCCGTCGGCCGCTGGGTATGTAAACCCGTTTTGGACGCGATCTATGACTGGAGAAGAGGTATGAGAACTGCAGCCAGTTAGAGAGCCCCACGCTTTGGCCGCCTGTCTGTCGCCTCGGAGTCGCATGCATTTTGGTGTACACGCACATGCGCGTTGTTAAAATGGCCGCCTTTGCCGTACCGTACGAACAGGAAAACACTCTAGCTCTGCAACGAAGCAGTTTCAGAGATAATCCCACATATTTTCTGACCTCCGTCGGCCGCTGGGTATGTAAACCCGTTTTGGACGCGATCTATGACTGGAGAAGAGGTATGAGAACTGCAGCCAGTTAGAGAGCCCCACGTCTATTCTCTCTTCTGCATTCCAAAATATTAACCTCTGACCCTTTAAAGCTGGGGGGTCAAAGGTCACTCTGTGTGTAGGTGGTGAACAAGGCAACATATTACGTAGAGATGTTTGTGTTGCTCTTCATTCTGACATTCTCTTGTTTTAAGCCTTGCTTTATAGTGAATTCTGAAATCTGAATGGTTAGTCAGAGGATTGCTGAAAAACGACTAATAGAAATCCTTCCCCGCCCAGCATATAGCACTTTAGTCTATTTGCGTTCACCTGAGCCCAGGAAGTGTTTTTTTGTATGTTGATACAGGTATCACAACCTTTATTTAGGCATATTTTTCTTGTGGAACATATACGTAGCTAACTTTTGACTGATAAGGTTTAGAACGCAGTCAGGCATATCATATCTATTCTGTATTCCAAAAAAATTAACCTCTGATCCTTTAAAACTGGGGGTCAAAGGTCACTCAGAGTTTTGTGTGTAGGTAGTGAACAAAGCAACAAATTACATTCATGTTTGTGTTACTCTATAGATATTCTCTTTTTTTGCTTTATAGTGAGTTCTGAAAATTGATTGGTTAATCAGAGGATTGCTATTGTCCTTAAACTATTCCTATGAAAAATGACTGACCTTCTGAAATCCTTCCCTGCCCAGCATATAGCACTTTAGTCTATTTTCGTTCACCTGAGCCCGGCAAGTGGTTTGTTGATACCACATCCTTTACTTTTCTTGTGTGACATATAGCTAACTTTTGACTGGTAAGGTTTAGAACGCAGTCAGGCATATCATCAGAACAGTAAAATTGCGAGGACTCCAATGATGTTAGCGCCTTTACAATTGGATGTATAATAAAAGAGGTATGACAATTTTTGAGGGCTCAGCTGAAGTCGATACCTTGCCACATCTCTAAGTGTTTCCTTGCCTTCGTCAGTCAGTCAGAGAGCCAGAACTGGTCTTGCTACACCAACTCACTGCTCCACCTGTCACCATGGAGTGTCCCCATCATGTGCTTGTCACGTGTCATTATGCACGCAGCAGGGGTGACGGTACACAATATACCTGTGGGGTTGCTATGAGAAGCTCTTTGCTTCACAACTGATTCTTTTTTTAACTACTATATACCATTGCTGAGTGACCAGCTGTGGGTCCTGTGCCCTAATACTCGACAACTGGTTTCCCATTCACCGCACTGTGGAGCTATGCAGTTCAAATCAAGTATCAAATCTAGCATAGTGAAAAAACTGACTATATGTGGCGGGGCAAGTTTATGCACATAATATTCCATTTCACCACACAGTACTACACTGTAAAAATGGGGGTGTCAGGGTAACACCAAAACGGGGTGTCATTCATTTGTGCAATTTGGACACCCCTCCAAAGGGTGTCACTCCAATGACACCCCTAAAGGGTGTTGGTTGGACACCCAATGATTTCATCACTACACCCCTTGCATAATATTAATCCGTTGCGCCTGCACCATCTTTGCCAAAATAGAACAATGACTGATGATAATACATCATACAAACAATTGTTGATATAGAGTTTCAAGATGCATGAACCCTCTCAAGATTATCATGAACAATAATTACACACATGGGAAGTTTAACACATGACTTTAAGCAATACACATAACGTTCTAAAAACAAAAGAATGTTTTTAAAAGAAGGAGGGTAAACAATGTTGAGTACAAAGTATGATGCAAAACAGAAATGTACTGCTGTACACACATCAGTTACAGGGATGATGTTTTGAAGTTCAATAACAACCTTTACATCAGAAATGGAATTCCTGGTAACACCGAAGGCAGCAATGAAAGGCGCTCTCTGGTGGTGACGTCACCAAGACAGGCCTCTATATTCACATACTCTCCCTGTGTAAGATCAGGTTAATGATACTAATAAGGGCATTAATATAACCCTAGCCTGAGTGAATGCATCTCATTGGTATCAAAAGAAAGTGGTGAGGGTTATGCACTTTAAAAGTGTTTCTTTTGAGGTAGCACAGCAAGAACACACTAGCATGCAGCTGACTTATGTAGCCAAAATGCACAGTAAGCAAAGCACCTCAAAGACAGAAAGCATTGACTGTCCTCCTGACCGATTAGTACCCAGAAAAGCCGAGAGAAGGTCCAATGTGTAGGCACAGGTTCTATCTGTAAGCGTATGAGCAAAACACACAAATAAAATAGTAAGTTGTAAATGGCAATCACCTGCATCATCTTGTTCCTCAGCCATATATTGACATAGGAGTAACTTCACCGACTTTTTCTGCTCAAGAGGGGCATACTTGAACGCAAGGTCTTCATACTTATTCCAGTTTTCTTTGTATGGCGGAGGGAAACATCTACAACAAGTGGACACAAAGCCGAGCGCACTGGCTGAAGGCAGAGCCGACAAAGCCGAGCGCACTGGCTGAAGGCAGAGCCGACAAAGCCCGAGCGCACTGGCTGAAGGCAGAGCCGACAAAGCCCAGCGCACTGGCTGAAGGCAGAGCCGACAAAGCCGAGCGCACTGGCTGAAGGCAGAGCCGACAAAGCCGAGCGCACTGGCTGAAGGCAGAGCCGACAAAGCCGAGCGCACTGGCTGAAGGCAGAGCCGACAAAGCCGAGCGCACTGGCTGAAGGCAGAGCCGACAAAGCCAAGCGCACTGGCTGAAGGACACCGCCATGACTGGAGCTGCAATAGACAACGCATCTGTTTCGCCTGGTATACGGGAATGTATGCCTACCGTATACGGACCCCACACGGTTTTGGCGCGCCAGCTCGGAGGTCGTCAGGGTGCAAAGGTCGACTGAGGTATAAACACCGCCCCTGGAACTCCGCCGCAGTGTTAACGCAGCACCGCTGTGTTGCCTGGACTCCGAAGTGCACTCGTAACACCAGAAATTTTTACACCCTGGTGTCATGCTAACACCCCCGTTTTTACAGTGTGGTGAGTGTTGGGAGAGATATAGACCAAGTCTGCAGTGGTGAGTGTTGGGAGAGATATAGACCAAGTCTACAGTGGTGAGTGTAGGGAGAGATATGGACCAAGTCTGCAGTGGTGAGTGTTGGGAGAGATATAGACCAAGTCTGCAGTGGTGAGTGTCGGGAGAGATATAGACCAAGTCTGCAGTGGTGAGTGTTGGGAGAGATATAGACCAAGTCTGCAGTGGTGAGTGTTGGGAGAGATATAGACCAAGTCTGCAGTGGTGAGTGTTGGGAGAGATATAGACCAAGTCTGCAGTGGTGAGTGTTGGGAGAGATATAGACCAAGTCTGCAGTGGTGAGTGTTTGGAGAGATATAGACCAAGTCTTCAGTGGTGAGTGTTGGGAGAGATATAGACCAAGTCTGCAGTGGTGAGTGTTATAGACCAACTCTGCAGTGGTGAGTGATGGGAGAGATATAGACCAAGTCTGCAGTGGTGAGTGTTGGGAGAGATATAGACCAAGTCTGCAGTGGTGAGTGTTGGGAGAGATATAGACCAAGTCTGCAGTGGTGAGTGTTGGGAGAGATATAGACCAAGTCTGCAGTGGTGAGCAGGCCCCAGCCATCTGTGTTTTGGTCATCGAAGTCAGTCCACTTTGTTCTACTAAGTAAACTGAAATTGGCAGAAATATGGGAGACTCTGAGCATTTGAGCAATGCAGCTTTAGACATATATACCACTCCCACCAATATTGTCAAGTGAAGCCTTGCCAATTACCTAATGTTGATGTGAGAACATTGGCATTGCGAAAAAAATTAATAGTGTTGAATGTGAAGTAAAAATAATGTTTTTTGATTAGTACTGTGTGAAGCTTTTGATCAATGATTATTCAAATGGCCATCATATCACATACTTGTCAGTCTATAGTACGCACTCTCAGGTCAAGTATGTCACAGTAATATACACTTTACGTACCCAGGTAGGGGAGAGTGTGTGTGTGATGGAGAGAAGTGTGACTGTGACTGTGAGTGTGGGACAGCTCCTCTCTCTGGTCACCAGTACTCTGGAGATGACTGTGGCTGCGACCCTGACAACTGCTACAATGAGCAGTACCCTGGAGTGAGTTGATAGAGCACTTACAAATCTCTGTGTGTGTGCAATGGGCTGTGAGATAGAGACACAACTTGGTTTGATTTTCTCAACAGAGAGTGTGTGCACACAGTCAGGACAGAGAGAAGGACGGAATGTGTGACTGCAATGATTGTCTGTGTCACACGGACTCTGTCTCTTTCAACAGGACTTGTATCTACAAAGTAACATGCACTGATCCACTGACCTATTGAATAAACTATGCGCATCTAAATTTGTACACAGGACCACCTCTGTAGTTTCTTTGTGTCATGTGCTGTGTGCTGGCCTATGATGAACTGCTCCATAGGAGACTGTCATCCCAGCCCTCTGGATTACCTCAGTGAGTTCTTACCTTACGAGCGTTACTATTAGCTCTCTTGCTCCCTACAGATAGTGATGGGATATCAGTGTCTTGTACATTTGAACGGGATGGATGTACTGTGGACTATCAGGTGGTACTCTCTGGGGCCTTCAACAATATGGGCAGTGTCTTTGTTGGAGGAGAGAGAGGTCTGACAACAGTTTTTAATAGGCTTTGCTTCCTTACATCGGTTGATTTTTGCAGATTGTCAGGACTCAGACATACTGGGTCAGCTGGCCTGGATCATTCCTGTGTCAATCAGTGGAGGTATTCTATTGCCAGGACTGCTGCTACTAGTTGCCGCCACATGCATTCGGATTCACAAGGTACATTACTATACATGGTAGTTTGTGCTAGTCACTCTTGTATTAGGTTTTGAGTATCTATATTTTTGTCTTTCTTTACAGTGCAACAATCCCATCTGTACAAGTAAGTTTAAAGAACTTGGAAGTTTGAGAGTTGTATATAGTTAACTTTTGCGTGGGTGTTTTGATCATGCATGAAAATTCTCTCACACAAAGTGATCCTCATTTTGTAAGCTAATGTTATTGTTTGCTGCAGGAAACAGTTCTTATACTGATCCAAGGTAATTATAGAACAGTGTATTCCTTCTGACGAGAAGTAGTCAATAGCACAGTATTGCAGCAGCAGTGGATTAATTTACTACTGAAGTGTGATTTCCTCCCTTTACAGTGCTAGAGCAGTAATGTATGAGACAGTTGGCGATGATGACAGTCACCCAGACATTGGAGTCTATGAAACAGTGGATGATGTACGACAGCAGCGTTGGGTGGCTGAAACCGGTCCAGCCACTAGAGAGAATTTGGCGTATGGAGTCTCTTACCGTGTCTC